CCCTCTTATATATATTCAAAGGACTTTTCACAAAAAAAGAAATTTATTATACTTAGTGAATTAAAAATATTTTACGATTCACAAATAGGAGCAGTGAAAAAGCTATGGAAAAATGAAATAGTTTTTGAGGTTATCCGGTACGTAAAAAAGGCTAAGGTGACAATGGAATCTGGTGCTCGGACTGGTGGAGGACTGCTGCGGAATATTATTGGTTTAAAAATATATTGTGTTGTCTTCTAGACTTCTTCTAGGTAGGTATAATTAAAATGTAAGACTTAATTAAAGGACTGACTATCGAAACTTATTTTATGTCATAGTTTTATGTACCTACCTATAGGTACGTCAATAGTTTAAATTAGTTTAGTGTTGTTTTTATTACGAAAATATTTTAATTACTTTAGGAGTAGCTAGTTTTAGGTTTGTCTTACCTGAATAGATACCTACCTGATTTCTGAAATTAAGTCTGATTTATCCAACATGACGTGTTTTATGATGGTCACCCTATTGCAACATTCATAGTCGAAATTTTATCAATTGAACGAGTCGCCAATTTGCCTTCGGCATTTCATAGAACAGCGAGCGTTTGTAAACTGACGACGCCGTTTGTAAAATGCGGAATCATACAATTTGCCTGCGACACATATAGTTCCAAAATACTGAACTGTCCTGTGCATGACATTGACAGTGGGGCGCCACCGTCAATACCGAATCGCTAGTTCCGATTTTTGCCATGTTGGAAACCATATAGTTGAACGATGGTAGCGCCCCCCTGTCATTGAGTTTGGCGGGACAGTTCAGCGTGGGTCATCTATACTCTCTAATCTGTGATAGATCTGTGCTCACGACCGGCCGTCATCATGGCGTCTTGAGTGACGTCACGCTTTGCAAAACACAGCAGTGGGTCTAGACAACGTGCAAATTATAATCGCAAACCAGTCGCAAAGTGGTCGAAAAGCCCCTTTTTTGTATGGAGTTTTGACGGATTCGATTTTCGATTCGATCAAAAAGTGCGTTTTGTCTAGGGGGCCTGTTTTAAGTAGTACGGAAATTTTAAAGTTATATAAATATTAATTACTAATGGATTCATCGTATTACAAGTACTGTATAGTGCCCCAATGTACAAGCACAAGTATCAAAACGCCAAACAAGTTATTTATATACGTACCAAACAATCAGCAGATGCGTAAAAAGTGGCTGACACTCGCAAGAAAATATAATGCCCATTGTTTATCAACAAAATCAAGGATGTATTTTTGTGAAGATCATTTCAATGTAAGTTAGATATTTCACACAACATAATCTGATATCTATGTACCAACATTAATGAAATTGTTGAACTTTGTGTAAGAATAATGATAACAACAAATGAGGTTAGGAATTATTCATGACAGTAATTATCATGGTTTTTATTTTTCCAGCTACCAAACGATATGCTTAATTATACCGAGTATCATATCATGGGGAAGGTATCACAAGTCCGCATGAAACCTGGCTGCATTCCAAGTAAATTCGCATGTCAAGAAGATAGACGGAAGCGAACATGCAGCAGCACTGAACAATCATATGTATTAAAAAAACAAAGAATGACCATAATAGCGGAGTCTCTGAAAGAACAAGAGGAAAGTTGTACACCAAGTTCTTCATACAATGCTATTCCTCACACAAGTTCAGGTATTTATAAGAATAACATTAATACTAACAATAAACTATTATGTAGAACATTCGGCGTTTACGTGAATTTTATAGGTATGCTTAAACCACATGCTTGTGGATTGACCTCTTGTTTCTTCCTCTACTTTTGTGATTAAACTCTTGGTTATTTGAATTTTTTTCAAAAAATCTTCAACATTTTTTTCTTTAAATTTAAATATTAATTGATGCTTTGAAGCAGCCTGTGTTTCTCTAGGACAGTATGTGGGTTGGTATTTCAAAATTTCACAGGTTGGTATTTCAAAATTTCACAGTCTTCTATTTTTCTTTTCCTTGCTTCATCCAAAAACAGGTTTAACTCTTTAGCAGTCAAGTATTTTAAGCTGCTACCAACTATTGTCAATTTAGACTTCTTCCAATAACACCGGTCAACAAAAAAAAAAATTTTTTTTGCGGATGGATTTTACTTATTATATTCTGATTAAAAGCATATTTATATAAAAAAAGTGCGATTACAAATCGAAAATATTTGCTTTTTAAAGAGTTATAGCGATTTGAATTTTCCATCTTCATAGTAGAATGTCTCTAAAGATGCACGTCACATTCTCATTGGGATATATTTATAGATAATAATTATGGGGGCTTATAAGAACAAGGGGCAAGCTTTCATCAAAATATAGTGGGATTTGAGAGACGACGTTACCAAGGCCAGTATACTGAAAGCATGATAGAGTTAGATTTTTATGAGAAAAATCTTCTATGGAACATGACAGGAAATTAGAACTTTTCATTTTTAATAAATATTTGGACTCTATTTTAAATTTTCTCTTGTGAGAATGAATCTTAAATGGATGTTTGGTATGTTTTAATAATTAGAAAGAATGAAAGAAAGAAAGAAAAAAAATATTTGGCAACAAATTAAATCATGTGATTTTTTCTATTTTTTATACATAAAAGCTTAGATTAATAATTAATCTAAGCATAAAAGCAAATTCAGAACAAATGACATTGGGAACTTTTTGCGCCACTTTTCGAAAAGTAGCGGACACAAACGAAACCTATCACAGATGATACATACTAATATCCAATGAATTTCCGTGCATTTTTTTTTCTCTCTTATATGGGAATATTGAGAAAATGAAGTTTTAATATTTTATTTTATTTTACATTTAGGTAACATTTTTGACGACCTCCGTGGCGGAGAGGCGCACACACCGGTTTTCAAGGTGTGTCGGGCCAATCCTGAGCCCCGATTACGGTAACTTTTAACGTCAACAATCCAGACACGCTTCTCGATTCTGCGATACGATTGGTCGTTCAACAGCGTACGTCAGCTGTTTTGACCAATCGTATCGCAGAATCGAGAAGCGTGTCTGGATTGTTGACGTTAAAAGTTACCGTAATCGGGGCTCTGAGGTCCCGGGTTCGATTCCCGGCCGGGACAATATAGAAAACGATCTTTTCACATTGTCTCTGGTTTGGGTGTGTTGTGGTTCGTCGTTCCCGATTTCCATAACACAAATGCCTTAGCTACTTATTTTGGGTTGGAGTAATATATGAGATGTTGTCTAATATTAATTTAAGTATTTATAATATTTTATTTATTTATATTATTTTATTTATATTTTTTATTTATTTATATTATTTTATTTACTTTTATTGGTTACTCTGCAATGCCAAACAACATAACATGTAAAAATATCAAATCATTTTAGACAAATATATTTTCAACTTAGACTCGTCATATCTCAGAATTCCCATATCTCACAACATAGCGCTTTAAGTGAATATACCTACAAGTATAAAGCTTTGAAATAAAATACGTTTCATCTTTGTCCGCCATGGGGCATTTTCTCATATTAAAGTTCCCAATGTCCTTTTTGTTAACATTCTTATTTCTAGGTATTAAAGCAATAAAAATAAGCTATGCATAACCCGTGCGCAAAAATGCTGTAGACAGTTGTAATGAATGGACTGAATGGCTTCATCTTCTTCATTAAGAATAAGCGTGCATCTATTTATAATTTGGCATGAACTTTATGTTCAGGACATATTTTGCATCCAAAAAAATAGGGTCTTAAACCATTTTTTTTCAATGTGTTGTCAATCAATGAGGTTTTAATGAACCAGTGGTATTTTTGTTCCAATTTTATAAAGCCTAAGAATGCCCTATTTATGATATTTACTTTTCGCGCGGAAACGCTTGGCGCCATGCTGTTTCGGTTCGTGACGTCACTCTGACACGTAAACAATACGACTGCGAAATACTGAGACAAGAATTGTGTAAATAATGAGTTCTAATGTGTATCATTGGTGTCTTGTGCCTGAATGCACGAATACAAGTATAAAAACGTCACAAAAATTGTGGATTCAATTGCCAAGTGATATCAAAATGAGATACACTTGGTTAAAACTGGCAGGAAGAGATCCAAAATTACTGTCCACCAAGACGAGACTGTATTTCTGTGAAGACCACTTTGATGTAAGTAAGCGTTTAAATAGCCTTCGAACAATTAAAAAAAACTTCATATTAGTTATTAAGACAAAACAAATTTTGTAATGCATTTATAGGTTATGTACAATGTATTATCATATTTCAGCTGGAAAATGATATGGTAAATTATACAGAGTATAAGTTAATGGGTTCTGTTAAACGAGTTCGAATGAAACCAAATTGCGTACCATCGAGATTTGACTGCCAAACAGACAGGAAACACAAGTGCACAAGTGAACCTCGTTATGCCTTTGTTAAAAGGCAAAGAATATCTACAATTAGTGAGAAGACCATACAAAATGAGAAATATGACATATTATCATTATTACCGTCTTGCAGTCAAGGTATTTTTTAAAAATTTTGTTTAGGTACTGTAAAGTTTCTACAAAATCCGTTAAGCAGTTTTTGCGTGAAAGAGTAACAAACATCCAGACATTCACACAAACTTTCTCATTTATAATATTAGTAGGACTATATCCCCCATAATACAAAAAGTTAAACTCTGGTATAATTAAATTGACATTTAGTATGGAAATCAATGTCATTTTAAACCAGAATTCGTCCGGGGTGGTTTTATTAATTAAGTCCGGGGTTTAAAATTATTTTTTTTGTAATAAAGCTACTTGGACCCATTTATACGGTTAAAGACATTTATTTTCTCAAAAGAATTTACAAAATCCACTTATAGAGAAAACACAAATACAATTCATTACAATTAAATACATTATTACCAACTAGCATTTTAAATGTGGGTATGTTTGAAAACATTCAAACATTGAGTTGTTCGACGCTGCGCGCTAAGCGTATTGCGACTTGCGACTACTTTTAGTGGGGATATTCACTTAAGGGTGATAGCACAGTACAATGCGATAACGCGCTATTGAAATTTGCAAAAAATTTTGAGATGTACAAAATATTTTAAATAGCAACTTTAAATGTATAATATTATTGTTGCGAGCATCTTAGAACTTAAATCTGAATCTATATAATAAAAAATAAAATAAAAAAAAACAAAAATAGTAATCGTAGCTAAATATATTTACGAGAAATCCCTTAAAATGTGAGCCTTTAGTAATTTTTTAAACATGTAAAGAGACTGACAATCTTTTATTGTTTTTGGTAGCTTGTTGTAGGTCTGGGCTCCTTCATAAATAATGGTTTTTTTTCCGTAGTTGGTACGCGGTGAATTTAAGCAAATATTATTTGCCTGCCTTGTTAAGCGTTTATTATGAGTAAATTTTTTAGTAAACGTTATTTCGCTGTGAATGTCTTTCGTTAATATTTTTCTTACAAGTATACATATGTTATATTTGTATATCTGGGTAAGGTTCATTAGTTTAGTTTCTTCGTAAATTACTTTAGTATGTGTGAGGTAAGGGTATCTGAATAAAATTTTGATTAATTTATTTTGTGCAATTTTTAATTTATTTATATGTATTTTCGCTGCTGATCCCCATACTTCAATTAAGTAGTCTAAGTGCGATTTGACTAACGAGTTATAGATAGTGTACCTCACGTGATTTGGGAGACATCTTGCCATCCCTTTTAGAGCACCAGTTAATGATGTTAGTTTATTACAAACAGTATCTATATGCGCTTTCCACGTTAATTGGTTATCAAGAACTAGGCCGAGATATTTTTCCGTATTAACTTTTTGAATTATTGTGTCATTTATCTTTAAAGGACTATAGTTAGGTATTTTTTTATTTTTAGCTGCAAAAATTATATATTTTGTCTTTGATATATTAATTGTTAGTAGGTTTGACTGAAGCCAGTCATGAAGGGTATTCAAATCATGTTGTGCTTGGTTTATTATATCATCGAGAGAATGACTAGAGTAAAACAAACTTGTATCATCCGCATATAGGAAGACGTCCCCATGGAGGCCTATTTCACTTATATTGTTAATGTATATGAGAAACAGTAAGGGGCCCAGGATCGATCCCTGCGGAACACCACAAGAAACTGTCCGGGGCTCACTCTGCTCATTGCCAATCTTAACAATTTGGCGTCTGTTCTGCAAATACGATTTAAAAATTTCAAAAGCCACACCTGTAACACCCACGCTTTTTAGCTTCAGTAAGAGTATTTCATGACTGACCGTGTCAAAAGCCTTCTGTAAATCGATAAATATTCCTAATGTAATTTTTTTCTCATCAATATTTGTTTTAATTCTTGTGACTAAGTCTACAGTAGCAGAAACAGTATTTGATTTGGGCCGAAAACCATACTGTTTTGTAAAAAAGAAGTTAATAGATGACAAGTAACTAGACAAGCGGTCGTAAATTAGTCTTTCAAAAATTTTGGACAATACTGGTAACACCGATATAGGCCTATAGTTGTTAGGGTCCATTTTGCTGCCAGATTTGTGTATCGGTGTGACCTTAGCAATCTTGAGAGAATTCGGAAAGTATCCCTCAGAGAAACATTTATTGACACTCTCAGCTAAATTACTGGCAATAATATTCTTAATGCATTTGATAGCTTTAGTACTAATTCCGTCTATGCCAGCACTTGTGTTTGCGTCCATTTCATCAATAATTTTTGTGATTTCTGTCTTTTTAGTTGGGTTTAATATTGATAATTCATTGGTTTCGGTTACTGAGTTTTTTGATGATATTGTGTATGTTAAACCGTTGTGAAATCTCTGCGGAATCCTGTTAGCTAATTCTAAGCCTATTGTACAGAAAAACGAGTTAAAATGGTTGCATATTTCTTTTGTGTCTGTTATTATATTTGACGATATTTTAAGTTTAATCTCAACGTGATTGGTTTTATTTTTGTTATTCGATAAATTATTAATTAGTTGCCACATTTTTAAGGGATTCTGTTTACAATCACTAAAAGCTTTGTGATAGTACCTATTTTTGGCAGATTGGATGCTGGCGCTGACTATATTTCTTTGCTTAGTAAAGTCCTTTTTCAATTTGTCCTCATGAGGTGTTACCTTCATTTTGTGCCATAGATTATTCCTGGCGTTGATTGCTGCAATTATTTCTTTACTAATCCATTCTTTTCTGGGAAGATTAAGTATCTTGTATTTTTTATCCATATTTTTATTCATGGCTACCAGAATTAACTCTTCCAACGGTTCGTAGTCATTGTCTAAGTTCATAATTGAATCTTCAACTGTTTTAAAAAAGCTGTGATAATTTAGTACTGTATATTGCGTTCTCTTAACGGGTACAGGAGTCTGTCTATGGATTTCGAGATATATCTGTTTATGATCAGATAAAGCCGACTCGATTACAGCCATATGAAAAGTATTGTCATTGAGATCGGTGCATATATGGTCCAATATAGTTTTAGTAGATGCTGTTTGACGTGTGCAGTAATCTGCGGCGATTTTGTTTAAAATTATAGTTTTATTTTCTCGTAACACTTCTTTGTAATCCTTTACGCACTTTTCATCGCTAAGTAGATTTAAGTTTAGGTCTCCAAATATGAGTGTTCGTTTTCTTTTTGACAATTGATGATTGTAGACTTCAAGAAAGTTACTGGGATTCGAGCTTGGCTGTCTGTAGATGGCTCCAATGTCCAAAGAGAGCGTTTTTAAGTGCACCCACAAGAAGTGATTACCGTCCTCAAGATGTTCCTCAACACATTCATGCTTCATGTCATTGTGTACGTATATAGATACTCCTCCGCCTCTTGCATTTGTTCTATAATTGTAGTAATGCATATAGTTGGGAATATTCATTCTTTTCGCTTCATTTTCATTCTTAATCCAAGTTTCAGTCAATATTATGGCATGTATCGTTGTTCCAAAAGATTCTATTATACATCTGAGTTCGTCTAATTTTCCGAGTTTTACAATGCTACGGACGTTTGCATATAGGAATTTAATAGATTTTGCCTGTTGTGTTACATTTGTATAATTGCTGCTGATCTCATAGGTTATGAATTCTGGTTTTCCTTTTTTAACTTCCTTATTTGTAGAATTAATTAGTTTTTTGACTCCTGTTTTACGATTTTAGGCACTCCTTTTACATATTTTATTGCTAAGTTTTTCTCACCATTGTCTGCACGTGAGCGTAGTTCCTCACGTAAATCCATAAGGGCTTTTTGTTGTTTGGGTGTTTGGTCCGAATATATTCTTATCGAATCATTTCTTACTTTAGATTTGTTCTTCAGAATGTGTTTTACCGTCTCCTCTGACGAGAACTGGACTTTCAGGGGTCTATTTTTTCCTTTTTCAAATTTACCTAAGCGTATCAACCTTTCCGGGTTAGGACATTGTGGATAGATTTCTAGTAAGATTTTCGATGTCTCGCTTTTATCGATTCCTCTTCTTTCTTCTACATTTTCTGTATATTGCTCGGGGATACCCATCATTATGATGTTCTTGCTTCGTATTTCACGTTCTCGAATTTCCATAATTACGTAATTCCATATTTATTGACTGGACTATAAGTAAAATCGGTTATAAATAAAACCTTGTTAAAGATCATGGTCCATGACTGTGTTTATGATATGTAGAAGCTTTGCGAAATAAATTAAATGGATCATAGGTTCTCCTGCGTTCGTCGTCGTCCTCCTGCGTTCAAGGAAAATCAATTATGGTCAAAAATATTTGTTACTAGCTTTTTCCCGCGGGTGAAGCCGCGTGAAATTTAGTTTGTCCCAGATCGTCATAAATTATAGCCTAATGTTATTCTGGGTTATAAACAATAATACTGTAAAGTTTCATCAAAATCCGTTCAGTAGTTTTTGCGTGAAAGAGTAACAAACATCCAGACATCCAAACATCCAAACTTTCGCATTTATAATATTACGAGTAAGTAGGATGCATAAAAAACAATCAGACACTAGTTGATTCAGCTCAAATAAGACAGACAGGCATTGGAGTTCCTTCGAACTGTATTTAAAATTCATCCAATTTTTATCGCTTCTTACACCTCTTTATATTTTACTTTACATTTTTATTTATACTTAATGTTCTGTTTCCAGGCTAGTGATAATCTTCGTGCCGTCGATAAGGCCGCGGCTCCTCCACGCGCGGTCGCGGTCGATCGCCATCGAGACGGCGGTGGTGGTATCGCGGCGTACCGACGTCGGCGACTGGTGGCTGCTCTATATGCTCGCTAGGAACATGGACCCCCTCATTTATAGGTAACACTAGCTTTCCGCCCGCGGCTTCGCCCGCGTGGAATTTTGTCTGTCACAGAAAAACTTTATCGCGCGCGTCCCTGTTTCAAAAACCGGGATAAAAACTATCCTATGTTCTTTCCCGGGACTCAAACTATCTCTATGCCAAATGGCAATGCCAGATTTTGTATGGAAAGTGGCGTCTTTTTTTTTTCGCGCGGCCATCGACCAAACTTTATTTTTTGATTACAAAACAGTGTAATAAACCAAACTTACTATGGCATGTATACCTCTAAACTCAGTCTGAACTGAGTTACAAGCATTAGAAGTTTGATTATTTTCATACTAGATTTGCTTTTTGTGCGCAAGTTTTGTAAGAAATTGCAACAAAATATTGCGCTATTTTTTTATTGCGCTGATTCTGCTCCATACTGATGTCTGGAGCCTTTAATGGATGATATTGTTTGTTTACACATACAATCTCACTATTTTGTTGCAATTTCTTACAAAACTTTGCGCGCAAAAAGCAAATCTTAGTATGAAAATCATCAAACTTCTAATGCTCGTAACTCAGTTCAGACTGAGTTTAGAGGTATACATGTCATAGTAAGTTTGGTTTATTACACTATTTTGTAATCAAAAAACAAAGTTTGGTCGATGGCCGCGCGAAAAAAAAAAAGACGCCAATTTCCGGCATTGTCTTTTCATCAAAATCGGTTGCGAGGTTTAAGCGGGAAAGCGTAACAGACAGACAGACAGAGTTACTTTCGCATTTATAATATTAGTTGGGATTAACAGTAAAGACCAGCGTTTACCCGCGGCGTTTGCACGCGCGGTCGTACACTCGCCATCGAGACGGCGGCGACTGGTGGCTGCTGTATATTCTCGCTAGGAACATGGACCCCCTCATTTACAGGTAACATTAACAGTAAAGACCAGCGTTTGCCGGCGGCGTTTACACGCGCGGTCGCGCTCAATCGCCATCGAGACGGCGGTGACTGGTGGCTGCTGTATATGCTTGCTAGGAACATCTATCTATGTCAGCCTTTGGGTTCGCCTTCGAACATAGGTCTCCTCTTCAACCCTCCACCGTTTTCTGTCCCTGGCCACACGCATCCAGTTCACTCCAGCCTCCACCTTCAGCTATCCGGAACATCCTCGATACGCCTCCATAAGTTAACCAATGCGTTTAGACTGGAGAGAGGAGTCCGTCAGGGTGACACCATATCGCCCAAGTTGTTCAACGCTGCCCTTGAAAATATCTTTAAAGAGTTAGATTGGACAAGCAAGGGAATAATAATTGATGGAGAAAGGCTAAACAACCTGCGATTTGCCGACGATATCGCACTGATCAGTGATAGCATTGAAGATATGATTGATATGGTAGACCAACTACAACGTGAATCAGCAAAAGTAGGGTTAAAATTGAATTTGTCAAAAACGAAAATCATGACGAACATTGAAAATGCGAAAAATCACGTCCTACCTGTAGAATTGGTCGACCACTACATCTATCTAGGCCACAAAATCACAAAATCTCGCCATCGAGACGGCGGTGACTGGTGGCTGCTGTATATGCTTGCTAGGAACATGGACCCCCTCATTTACAGGTAACTATCAACATTAGAGACTAGCGTTTACCCGCGGCGTTTGCACGCGCGGTCGTACACTCGCCATCGAGACGGCGGCGACTGGTGACTGCTCTATATGCTTGCAAGGAACATGGACCCCCTCATTTATAGGTAACATTAACAGTAAAGACCAGCGTTTACCCGCGGCGTTTGCACGCGCGGTCGTACACTCGCCATCGAGACGTCGACGACTGGTGGCTACTCTATATGCTTGCTAGGAACATGGACCCCCTCATTTACAGGTAACTATCAATATAAGAGACTAGCGTTTACCCGCAGCGTCTGCACGCGCGGTCGCACGCTTGCACCAGACAGCGGTGGTGGTATCGCGGCGCACCGACGTCGGCGACTGGTGGCTGCTCTATATGCTTGCTAGGAACATGGACCCCCTCATTTACAGGTAACATTTATAGTAAAGACTAGCGTTTGCCCGCGGCGTTTGCACGCGCGGTCGCGCTCGATCACCATCGAGACGGCGGTGACTGGTGGCTGCTCTATATGCTTGCTAGGAACATGGACCCCCTCATTTACAGGTAAAACTTAAAAGATACAGAATAAGCTTAGCTCGCGGCTTAGCCCGTGCGAATTTCGGCCTGTCACATAAAGACTTTCTCGTGCGCATCATCATCATCTCAGCCATAGGAACGTCCACTGCTGAACATAGGCCTCCCCAATGCTTTCCATGTTGCCCGGTTGGTAGCGGCCTACGTCCAGCGCCTTCCTGCTACCTTTCTGATGTCGTCGGTCCACCTTGTGGGTGAACGTCCCACGCTGCGTTTTCCGAAACGTGGCCTCCACTCCAGAACCTTGCGAGTATGTCCCCTAAAAATCTATCCTTTTCTTAGGTCTCAAGCTATCTCTATACCATCACAATCGGTTTAGTGGTTTAAGTGTGAAAAAAAATGTATTATCATCCAGTTTTTTAAAGTGGTTCGTCGCTTGGATACGGCGTCGTTCTAATAGGGCGATGGATGTGAACAAGCGACATTACCCGATATGCTATTTATAGACAATTTGACACCATCCCCCAATAATTCGAAATCACAACTTTTCTAAATAGATACTTCATTCTGGTCTTAAAAACTTTATTAATTTTAAATTACATGTAAATTACGATTTTTGGTTGCATTGTAATTGAAAAAAGTAGTTTATTTGAGTTGACAAAATAGTGACGTCACTTGCTAGTAGTGCCATACAAAATCTATGAGACAGTTTCGTTTTGACAGTTTAAAAAGTACGTCAATTGATTGGTGGTGTCTATTTGTAATGGCGAAACATGTGCACTACTGAATTCTGTAACATCTTTATATACCATGTTTTTACGCAAATAAAATTCAGATTCTGATTCTGATTCTATAGTATACATAGACTGTAGACTGCAGCCCAGTATCTTCTGTGGAGTATAGCCAGAAAACCAGATATAACATAACGATTTCTTCTTCCAGGGAGCTAATATCAGAGCTAGCCAAACGCCTCGGCGAGAAGCCCTTGCCCCGCGCGTGACGGCCGCCCAAGCCGCCGCCCACCGTAGCTATCGTGGGCGCCTGACGTCACACGCACAGCCACGGCTTTACGTAAGTCGCAGTATTTCTACAGACGTTGCAGACGCGTGTCATATACGAGTACGCGAAACTGTTGAATCTTTCATCTCGAATCTGTCATCGACGCTATTATACGACCACAGCTTTATGTGACTTAGTACCCTCAGTTTTTATATTCGAATTGTACGCGTCGTTAGTATAATTGTAAATGCTGACTGTCATTTGTTTATGTTTGAGCCATGTATTCATTAGGCAACATTTGTTGATAAACTGTTTATGACTAGTGTGAAACAAGTTTACCATAAACACAGGTTTCTGAAACTTGGCCGTCCACACTCCACTCATAGCGAGGAGCACGACAACATGTATCATAAACAATGTTTCATCACCTATGTTTATGGACTGTTTATAAACTGTTTACAGGGATGATGAAACATTATGAAACATTGTTTATGAACAGTTTATAAACAGTGTTTATCAACAAATGTTGCCTAATGAATACATGGCTTTATAATCACATTTTCATAAATTGCTCAGGCATGGTTTTTCTCTAATACAATAAGAGTCTCAAAGGAGGAAATTTCTGCCAGTACCTAAGTTTTAAAACCGGAGGCTGTTATAAGCGTGCATGTTTTGTAAAGTTTATTAACGATTTATGTAAGTACTAGTTTTAAATGAAACGGTGTAGATATAGTTTTATCAATCTTGAATATTATTCTCAAAGCCGTTGCCATAAGGTCGATGTTTGGAAATCTCTTTAGAATCTATACGTAATGTATTATTAATAACACATAACACTGCCAACGCTGCGTATTGTAGATTTGAGTTGCAACTAATTACCGTTCTCAGTATAAAAAATCACATAGAAAGTTTGGCACCAGGATTGTTTTGAACTGCATAAAGATGCCATGTGATCTTACATCTAGCTATGAGATTAATTTCAGACATTTGTGCCTATTTAGGCATTACATATTAAGTTCATCATAGTGAGTGCATGAAAAACTCATAAAAGTATTTTGAAAATTATAAATAACTTGAAACCACGATCGTGGTTTCAATTCCCGCCTTAGGCAGTTCGATTTTTTCAAGTTATTTATAATTTTCAAATTAGTTTGAGATGCGACTCTTAACGCTAAAAATTAAATAACTCATAAAAGTAATTTATCTTTTTGCAAATAGGCTTTTAAAAAGCACTTTTACACGCCCCAGAATTATTATTAACCTTACCATTACTTCGGGACAATAAATGGGCCAGTGCTGAGAAGAAGCAGCGCAAGAAACTCAGTCATGTTTTAGTTAATGACCAACTAAGTATTGTTAGACTGATTTGCAGGAATCTGTTTTTTTTAAGAAACACGGTACATTATTATTGTCGTTGTAGAATATTTATGTTGATATAAACTGTAAACAAGATCTGAAAATGGAATTTAAGGACAACAGTAAACATTAGGGTCGTACTTTTATATTTAGCGTGCGGTAATTAGTTGCAGTTCAACTCATTTTCTTTTGTATCAGTCAGCATGCTCGAAATAATGGTTGTATTTAGGTGTATACTTTGTTAAATATTGTATCTAGGTTTATAGGCATTATGACTTTTTTTAAACTATACAATTACAAATTTTGGCGATTTTTAGCATTTTATAATCCGTTTTGGAAGTTTTAAATTGTAACTTATGTAATATGACGACACTTTATAAGTGTAGACGTTAGGCTTTTAACTAGTTTGCAGAAATAATAAAATTCTCTCGGCACTGCTAGGTCTTCAATTTCATACAAATAAAATGTGCCAATCATATTTTAGTTTTTCTCCATTAGTAGGTCAATTTTAACGATAAGTATGTTTTACATGACATAATGAATCTAAAAAGACAATTTTACTAAAAATCAAGCTGAGCATATCATTTTATTTCTATTTTACCTCTAAAATTTTAATGTAGCACAACGTTACAAAAAACTACTATTATGGTAGTTTTTGTTTAGTATGGCAACATAATTTGGTAGTTTTTTAAAGCACTGATGTATAATGGATGGACTGTCAATAATTCGCCTTATTGTATTATGGTTAAGAAAGTGTATGTTGGTCTTGTGGTTAGAAATGTACTTTTTGTACATATTTGGTATAATAAGGGTATGAACATTGCTGTCAATGAAATGTTATTAATAAACTCACTTGATTCTATATTGAAGATTAATGTTCATTAAAACTACGAATATTAGACATTTTGTACTGTCTTAAAACGAAGTTTTAATATGTTACACTAAAACATTTTTATTTACTTACTAAAATTTTAATAACTGAATAAAATGACTGGCCTGCTCTACAATTAAATTAAGATCTTGTGATATATACATACATATTATACATTGTGATGTATACATGTTTGTAGCAATAGGAATGTTGTGTATTGAATGGTTATGCTTATTGGTATTTTACAAACTGTGTGTAGTACGTGACAATTTTGGGAGATTGTTAGGGTGTATATTATTGTGGATAATCTTATTTTTAACACCTTTAAATTGAAAATAAATTCAAGGAATAGTTTTTCGTTCTAAGACCTAGGAACTATCTGATGCAAAATTTAAAGTTGGAAGTATAGATTATCTTCAATATTTATCGCCTGTGGAGTAATGTTGTGACAAAACTACCAAGTATTCAGTGTTCATTTTAATAGTGTTGCCCTGTTTTTTGAGGGTTTTTGATATTATTAATATATTTGTACTGTTTGAAATTTTGACAATGCGTCTGTATAGACGCCTGTTAAGTTTTCCTCATGGTTTTCATTGCATGGTAAGACTTTATTCTACTGAACACTAAACGCAATCAATCTCAATATTTTCCTTGAAGTTCTTCTAGCTTTTCGAGTGTTTGATTTGTACAAGTTATTAAAATAGAGCTCAATGTTTATGGTCAGTAGAATAAAGCCTAGTTGTAAGGAGGTTTTTCTTCATCACAGTTCTCCAAGACCCTAACCACAACCTTTAACGTTGATTGTGTGTGTGAAGGTAGTAACATCAAATAATAATATGTTTTTATAAAACCTCGTTACAACGAAAATAATCATTCATCAACACCATTATGTAGAGTTACGTTTAAACAATCGCTCATTGTTTTACATTTGTGCCTCAAAAAGACTCTTGTCTTTATGATAATTAATTACCTTTTTACTAAAAAAGGCAGGCTTGGGTAATCGCTATCATAATGAATAACAATATTGACATTAGAATTAATTTTTACATTGTTAAATCAACATAAACAGCTTGTTGATTGGGTCGTTGTCGCGTTGATATTGTAAACTTGAATGTAATGTAAACAATGTATTTGAATAACCCAAAATCATCATCGAATTTTAACTAATTCACTGTTTTATCTCTTCCTTATTCAAAGCGAAATTAAAGTTCAGGATACGTAATCATAAGTAAAAACTATATAGTATTCTCAAATAAAAAAAAACATTAGTCAACAGTCGTGAACTCATTTTAAAATGAGTGCTCTAATAGGAACATGCCCTAAAAATTGTAAATTATAAAAATGGTAGTTTTAAGCTTTTCACTGCTAGTAACACTGCCTTGCTGTCACAAATAACGGTTATTTTTTTCGATTTCATGTTCAAGCTAAGTTTCAGTTTTCAAGTGTTATCAAATAAGTACCTTACTCAAGTGATTTTTACTTACTTCTCTGAACGTTGTAGTGGATTTATTTGAATGATAATGGACGCTTTTCTAAAACCTGTCTATCTGACTATGCAGAACTTCTAGGGATGTTCAATTGCCAATATTTTAGTCTTATCCGTCTGTTTAAATCCTGACATTCTGTTAAAAGAAAAAGCGACAGAGTAAAAAATTTAAGTAGAGCTAATGAGTTTTTGAATTAAACAAGTCTAGCAATATGAATATACCTTCATTGGGAGTTGTTAATATGGTTTGTGAACTAAAAAGATTTTGACATTCATCTCTGTCCCGGTCATCGAAAAATAGATTTATTACAATATTTTATCGCAGTATTCTTTCAATGAGGGCTATCGTTTTTATACTTAACAGTTGGCACCCCTGGCGATTGACAGGACCTTACTCGACAGTGGCGTCATCTTGATGAGTGCAAATGCGATAGTCCTCCTACCACTTTAGCGCTCACCAGCCGGCGCCACTGTCTTCGCTACTAGCAAGTGACAGGACCTTACTCTACAGTGGCGCTAACTGGTGAGCGCTAAAACGATAGCCCTCATTATCTATGCACAAACACTTTAAAATAGACAATGAAACTATTTTTTAAATGATAATTAAGTTTCTTTCTTCTCTGTGAAGATCTTTTAAGCTATTTCTTTTTTTTTTATATTGAAAGAATACTGCCCCGTATAGGCCAATATACCTGTATATAGATTAAAAATGTTCCTAATCAAGTTATTTTAGTTCACAGTGTTGTGGGCTACTACGGTGTAGACTAAGTTGAAAGTAAAAAGACATTCGGTTGGGCGACTGTGATTGTGCCAGTAAAAAGTTATTTGGTTTTTCGTTTTGAATTCTAGTTTTAACAGAATATCACGTTATCTCGGAACTAGTATTGGTAACAGTTCACAGTAGTCCACTAACACTTTAATTACTAAAATGTTAGTTTATTTTACATTAAGTGATGTACTGTTCGCATTTATTTTAGATTAAAGAATGTTTAACTCTTTATTTTTGTGTTAAGCTCGTATATAACAGGTATTATTTTTCAATGCCTATTTGTACAGTGAGGTTTAAGATTCATGGAAGAAAGCATTTGATATTATAGTGACTAAAAACTATGTTTATATTATTTTTGGTGTAGATTTATTTTCATGAATTTTGACCTTAATATAAGCGGTAACTAGTGAATTTTAAAACAATATTATTTATTAAACAGTTTATTCCAATTTAGTTAACGGTTTGATATCGGAGAACAATATTTTCTCAATATTGTAATTAAGTTTTAAGTTGAAGTTGAATATACGATTTTGATTTTTGTAAATATTTGTTTTACTTTTGTTACATTTAGATAAACAGAATACCAGAGCCTACGTGATTGAATAAAGCGTTTTATCCTGTAATTTCAGTTGGTAAGTATCCAAAATCATACATTTTCCATGTAAAAATTGGCAACATCCTACAGTAAAGCTTCAATTAGTGTAACTTACTTCCATAAAGCCACACAGATGTGTCTTCCTACTGCTAAATAATTCAAAAAAGAGCATCCACGCAATAAAAATGGCAAATTAATTATCTGGCATGGGCTCAATGTTGCTGGTTAAAATGGTAAAATTATCATCGGATCGAGACTTCGTAGAATTTTAAAATTATTAGTTTTGCTGCAATCCCTACATTTTTTGTTTTGCAATATAGTTTTTTTCGTTTTATCATCCTCAAATTCTCCAAAAATTTAGTTGGCTAGGTGCCTAACTTAATGTGTAGGTACACAAGTACATAATTTAGTATTAAAAAACGTTTTGTCCAAACTTTATGATTAAAAACAATATTTACGGTTTTCATCACGTCAGAAATATAAAAGACAAAACCACAATCACGTTTTGTTTTAAGTATTCATTTGTTTTATTTTTGTCATCAAGATGATTTTACTTTAGTCCAACGATTTTGAAACGTCAAAATAATGGCAATTGAAATATGTTTATATTTTAGTTAAAATAACCCAGTATTGATAGTAGCGCCCTCCTGACAATGTCATAGCTGGGACAGTTTAGTGTATGACATCTATACCAGTGTTAATTTCACGATCTTGACACCAAAGTACCAGGCCAACATACATTAGTAGAGATGGATGTAAGTCTTTATAAAAAGAAGAAGACGGCACATAATATGTGTGAAAGAGACAAACTTCTAAACAATATACTTGTCAAAAGAACAAAGCGAGAAAAATTTTGATCTACCCACATATTTGGTAATTTTTCTAGTCAACTGTTTGTCTCGTTCTTACAAGGCTTTTATCTAAAGTGTTGTCACTTTCACACAATATGCTGTCTACTTCTTCCTAAAGACGAACAGCCATCTCTTCCTTATGTATGGTTTCCTGGTACAATGGTGTCAGAATGTTGAAATTATCACTGATTCGACCGTTTCTTGATACAAATTGAAAAAAGAAAAGGTTGTGCATTAGGTCGTGTGTGATTGTCGTCGGTAGAAAATTAACTCGGGAGACAGTTCATCATACATCGATCAAGCAACAATTAAGATTTTCAGTATTTTTTATTTAATTAAGCATTTAAAAATTTTGTACAATTTAAGGAAAAACATAACCCTTCTTCTGGCGCATTCGGGTAAAAATAGTGCCCAAAAGATAGGCTGCTGCATCGTCTATCGATTAGAATTTAAAATACAAGGCTTATAAATAAAAAAATTCGTTTAATCCGCTGTCTTGGGGGAAGGTGCCCAGAAGGTTGGCCACATTGCCACGCTGGATGGCCAGGCTAATTCTTTGGCCAAGGTATAGGCCAGCCTTTGGATCGTAAGATGTCTCAACTAAACGTTTAGACATCTTACTAAACAATCAATTTGTGGGAACTTGGTCCCCACGTCGTCCAAATATGTAAGTCTCATTGAGATTTTCATATTTGCGCCGGTTGAGGTCCTCTGCAGAAGCAGCAGCCGAACTTCTAATTACACTAACTTCTAAACTGCAGAAATTCTAATTAATAAAACAATATGTGCTAAATTGTCCCCTATTCATTGTAATATTTTATTCAAATCGTTTTGAGAAGGAATCTGATTCTAATATTTTCTGAAATTATGAGGCCTACTCACGAGTTGATTTCTGCTACCAACAGTGCATAAATAATAATTTTGCACGCGACTTTCTTAAAAACGACGACTTTACCCGTGATAATTTCACCACTCTGAAACAAAAGTACCAGGCGAACATACATTATAAAGAGAGGTAATTCGAAATAAAAAAAAGAGACGGCACATAATGTGTGAAAGAGATGAAACTTCAAAACAATAGACTTGTCAAACCGAACAAAGAAGCTTAAGCGAGATTTTTTTTCTATCTACCTACATATTTGGTCGTTTTTCCGATCAACTGTTTGTCTCGTTCTTACAAGGCTTTTGTTCTGAAGTGTTATCTCTTTCCCACAATGTGATGTCTACTTCTTCCTAAAGACGAATAGCCATCTCTTCTTAATGTATGGTTTCCTGGTACAATGGTGTCAGAATGTTGAAATTATCACAGGTTCGACCGTTTCTTGCTGTAAATAAAGGTTGTGCGTGATTGTCGTTGGTAGAAAATCAACTCGGGAGACAGTTCATCATACAATTTAGATTTTCAGTATTTTTTATTTAATTAAGCATTCAACAATGAGGGTTTTCGCGATTGAAAAATCCGCCAGATGGCAATACGTAGACGCGAGGTCCAAATGCTGCATGATTGGTTATTTTTGACATGACATTGACAGATATGTCAAAGTCCACCAATCATGCAGCATTTGGACCTCACGTCTACGTATTGCCATCTGGCGGATTTTTCAATCGCGAAAACCCTCATTTTTACAATTTAACGAAAAACTTAACCCACCTTCAGGCGCAGTCGGGTAAAAATAGTGTCCGAAAGTTAGGCTACTGCATCGCCTTTAGATAAGGTGAATGAAGGTGAATGGTCGAGGTGAATAATTTTGGGGTTTTCATTTACAATCTGAATGAAAACCAGCGAGCGGACTTTTAACTTCTAATAAAATTAATAAAACAATATCTGCTAAATTGTCCCCTATTCATTGTAATATTTTATTCAAATCATTTTATGAAGGACTAGCTTTCCGCCCGCGGCTTCGCCCGCGTGGAATTTTGTCTGTCACAGAAAAACTTTATCGCGCGCGTCCCTGTTTCAAAAACCGGGATAAAAACTATCCTATGTTCTTTCTCGGGACTCAAACTATCTCTATGCCAAATTTCATCAAAATCGGTTGCGAGGTTTAAGCGGGAAAGCGTAACAGACAGACAGACAGACAGAGTTACTTTCGCATTTATAATATTAGTTGGGATAGTTGGGATAACGTCTACAAATCTTTGAGGTCTCGCTTAAACTCACGAGTTGGTCTGCTCCCGACAACACAAGACTTTTCTACAATCGACTTTTACCCGTGATAATTTCACCACTCTGAAACAAAAGTACCAGGCGAACATACATTATAAAGAGATGGTAAGTCGAAATAAAAAAGGAGACGGCACATAATGTGTGAAAGAGACAAATCGTCTAAACAATAGACTTGTCAAACCGAACAAAGAAGCTAAAGCGAGATAAGTTTTCTATCTACCCACATATTTGATTGTTTTTCTGTCAACTGTTTGTCTCGTTCTTACAAGGCTTTTGGTCTGAAGTGTTGTCTCTTTCACACAATGTGGTGATTACTTCCTAAGGCCGTACAGCCACCTCCTTTTAAGGTATGTTTGCCTGGTACTTTGGTGTCAGAATGGTGAAATTCACTGGTAAAAATTCAATCGTTCGTTGCAAACGGAAAGGCGAGATTGTAAGGTACTTTTGTAAGTTTAAGGAGATACGTTATTTTTCATGTTATTTATTTTTTATTTCTACTAATATGTAAATGTGAAAGTTTGTGAGGATGTTTTCATGCAAAAACTACTGAACAGATATTTTTATGAAACTTTACAGTAATTATTTACATCAGAATAACAAAGACTTACGATTTTATGCCTAATTATTACTTATTAAATCAAATCTTATTTTTTGACAACACTATAATTATTTATTATTATGAAGAGGAAAGATTTGATTGTAAAAGTGCTTTTTAAAAGACTATAAATGAGTTTTATGAGTTTTTTTTATGTAGGTACTACGAGTATGTTTGTTTTGTATTGAATAAGCTCCAAAACTATTGGACTGTATTGAAAAACTCTTTCACCATTATTTACTAGTATCCTACATTATTTCTGATGAACTTAAGCGATACGAAATTTGCCGGATCATTTTTGGCCATGAATATATTCTGCAAAATCTACAAGATGCTACGAGTATCACTTACGACTTCGCAACAAACGATTACCTGTATCGTTCGTAGCCGTGATAATTTTACCTTTCTGAAATCAAAGTACCAGGCAAACATGCATTGGAAGGAGTTGGTAATTTCTAATAAAAAGAAGAAGACAGCAAATAATGGGTGAAAGAGAAATCTTCCGAACAATAGAAATGTAAAAACGAGATAAATTATAGAAATAACCTAAAGCGTGAAAAGGATGAATAGTGTGGAGAAGAAATGTTATGTGGGTAGTCAGAAAATTCCGCGGCATTAATGAGCTCCTGCTAATGTACAAGGAACTCGAACTAAACTATTTGTCTCTTTCTTATTCAATGTTCGTTCAATATGGTTATCTCTTTCTATCGCATGCGGGCCTAGTCTTTTCTTCTAAGAGTTTGGCGCTAGTGAGCGGTAATATGGCCACAGATACTTTAACATTGCTCTTATGTGGTTACTTTAGGAACTAAAATGTAGATGGCGTTATCATACCTACGTTTTTATGGTGTGTTAGTACATTTACTTCGGGATAGATGGCGTAAGACGACATAATCATGGTATTGACATTACGAGTAGATTTGAATTACTGCCCAACCAAAGTCTAGATGCATTAGTCAGCGATGTATAATAATATTGTCTAAATATTTATACTCACATCATTCTTCTGACAAACTGCGAGCATAAAATTAAATAAGTTTGTAGACTGACCACACAAGTGCTATAAAGTGTAAAACATTTATAGGCTCAAACCATAAATGACAAGCAGGAGATATTAGGCTCACTTGTATTCAATCGATAATTTTAGGTTTATCTAGAGGTTGTGAATGAAAAACTTTAATAATTTCATATAATTTAATCGATGTCTCCCATGGTAACTTTCTCATTAACGCATGTCGTCCATCAGTAGAAGATTTTGGCACGATATTTGGCGTTGACTCGACTACAGACACCATGATGCCTCCCTGACATTAGGAACATTGGAGAACCCCCAAAACAATTCGACATTCGTAGATCTATAGCGACACTAAATTGTTACAGTTTATTTTTACAATCGACAACCTTTTTACATTTACAATTATCATACAGCTTGAGTTAAAAAACTTTGGTCTCACTAAAATAAATAATTATAATAATGCTTACGAATAAAGAAAAGTATAGCTAGCTTATAGTCTGTGATTAAATTAAACTCAACGTAGTGATTACAGACACTTTGAATCGAGACGAAGAAGAATCCGTTTTGACTTATGGTTCAAAAATAACTTAATGATAAAGTCAATCTTATTGATAATCTAAAAGTCACATAATGTACGAAGATTGAAACAAAGTTTTTTGACTTAAGCTGTAAGCCTTTACACATTATCTTCTAATATCCATACGAACACAACAATTCCCAACAACTTCGCATCGTCTAGTACGAGGTAACGAATTAGGCACAGCTAAGTTCTTTCCAATATATCTTAGTCTAGTTCCAGATTTGGAAAGTTAATTAAGTGACCTGTTAAAGATAAAGTCAGATAAATTATCGAGATTCACTTCGTTAATTACAATAAAACGTTAATGCCAATTTGTTTAGAGTAAATTTTCGACGTGTGCGAAAATAATCAGTCGTTTATTTGCTATTCAAAACGTAAATAAGTTTCGAATAGAATTTATTTGCTTTGCTTATAAAAGTAAGGATAACATTAACTCGTTCGGTTAAACAACGCAAAATGTCTTTTGGCACGCAAAAGTACCTACAGATACACCTACAGGTATTATGAACGGTTCCATTCACCGACATCAAAGTAGATAAATAAAAAAAGTGTTTAAGCTGGAATCCCGAATAGTATTCTCAAGTCTAAACTACATTAGGTATTTATAAATATTAATGTAATTATTGCTTTATTATTGGTCTGTCAAATCTTTGGTAAGTGAGAAATGGTGTAAAAAAAGGTAAGTTGTGTGCTATTTATGTGCTTACATTCAATTTATTAGCTAGAATAGAAAAGAAGAAAGCCATTTCAATCACTACGAACAGCGAGACTTAATAAAATACTTCTAAAAGTTGAACACTAGATACTCTAACCGGATAGCCGCCATTGCTGACTTTTAAAGGCCTTCGATAGGATTCATCCTGAGATCACGTAATCTTAAAGATTAAGTACAAACTATTATTGCGTGTTTAGAATTGCACTGTTACGATTCTTACGATTACAGATAGTATCGATTAAGAAAGTCTTTGATACACTTTGTATTGTCCAGTCTGGGCAGGGATGCCGCAGGGCAGCGTACTTGGGCCACGCTTGTATACCGCGAGAGGAATACGTCACTCTGTGGATATACGTGGTGAGTTTGATCATTCAAACGGGTGGGTCCATGTCACGCTGCAACGACGTTAGTCATGTGTGGAACACCCACCCGGGGATCGGAGGTCACGCGTCTGGGACGCCGTGGATATGGTGCTGGTAGTTGTGATTGAGTTTGTTCGCGAACTCGTGCATTATATCTCTGAAGATGACGGAGTCTAGGTTCTCTCCGAGAATGTAGAGTAGGTACCAGTCGCCCATTTTGCTTCGTCTGACGATGGTGTCGACGTTGTCTCTCCTGACGAGCCTGAACCTCATTCGCATCATGTAGACTCGCATTCTTGGGGAGAAGATGATGACGAGCCGGTAGAGGAGAGTGATGAAGGTGAGGATGCCGAGGATGACGAACCAGAACCAGAGGAAGATGTAGATCTTCTCGTTGACGACGTTGAGCGGCAGGATGCACAGCGCGTCGTGCCGCTCCACTTCGCCCGAGGAGCCGAATTTGTTGAATAGTGTGCACTTTACCATCCTGGAACACAATGCATAATAATCTATATAGGCTAGTTACATAATAAATTGTAATTGAAAATATACGAAATCTTATGTGTTTTAAATAATGTTTCGGCTTACTGCAAGAGATCATTACTACAAATTCTCGATAAATTGCAACTGTAAATATGTATCTTTTGAATCAATCATAAAATTTTATTTGGGCCAAAAATAAAAATGTAAGAATATGAAATTATTATTACGGAACTGAAGATTAGATTTTTATGAATTAAGATTAATACGTTTGGAGTTTTGATTACACTCTTAGCAAATTAATATATGTATAAATATGCCGTACCTTGGGAATATGTAAATCATGGGGTCGACGCGATCCTCCTGGTCGGACTCCATGTAGGCGATGACGTCGAGCCCGAACGTCATGAACTCGCCGTCGAAGAACCGGTTCATCAGGAACATTTGCCCTGGATACAGACATAGAGTGAGAATTATGTGGTGTAGCCATAGGTTCTAAGTTTCAAGGGTGGACTTCATTATCATCATCATCATCTCAGCCATAGGACGTCCACTGCTGAACATAGGCCGCCCCCAATGCTTTCCATGTTACCCGGTTGGTAGCGGCCTGCGTCCAGCGTCCAGCTACCTTATAGATGTCGTGGGTCCACCTTGTGGGTGGACGTCACACGCTACGTTTTCCGGTACACTTCAGCCCCTTTCAAATATGTACTGTTCTTCGTCCGTAACAATAAATGTTATGTTTGAAAATTTCACCTATTACGACTGCTTTAAAATGCTGCTGTCTCTAGATTGACGTGCCATATTCCGTACAATAGAGGTAACTGCCTATCTACATTATGGAAACTAATAATAACTAAATCCTAAGGCATTTAGGCCTGAAGTCAAATAGTAGGTACATTGGGATGAATTGAAAGTTGAAAAAAAGGTGTCCATCAAATAGTTTTATTTTAAATCTAGTTTTCAATACATTTATGATTTATCGTCTCTTCCTATTTTTCTCAGAATTTTAGAAATAAGGACTTAGTTTTAAAATTAATACGAATTGAGCATAAATGAAATTCGTCTTATTAAAGCTTTTGAAAAAGCTTTTATCATAACCAAAAGATAAAATAATACCAACTAGTTTTAAAAAAACAACAGATATTACCTACGTACGATCCAAGATCCATGAAAAAACCCATAACTTCTCTATTTCACCCTTTAGTGTCGATATACATAAACAATTTCCTTATCATTTCAGTTTGAAGATGGCTGTTATGTTTTTATCTCATTACACTGCTCACAAACATTTCTATCTCGATCCTCGTACAACTGTATAATACACCGTATATTTGTATATTATTGCTGACGTATTTACTGACTTCGTGACGCCTTCTGCGCGCTTTGCTGATATCCCATTTTTTTACTACCCTCCCAAATAGAGTTCCGAGCTATGTATAATAGGAGCGACTTGTATTTGGAAAACAGTGTAGATTTACTTGTAAAGTTACGTTAGCTTATTTGCATGTGGTAAGTTAAGTTTTGATCAGACATGATTTGAAGATATTACAAAATTAAATACAGTATTATAAATATCATTACCCCATGAACGCTCATCATCAGGGTTTGAAAGACTAAGCTTATCACATATATAGTCAGTCTTTGTAAATATAAATCTCTGAAAATATTTAATCACACTGACTATTGTCATGAAATTTCCTTTTAAAAAAGTTCCTTTGATTTTAGTAAGTAACTGTAAACAATACCAAATGATCTAAAAATAAAAACAAAAACAATCAACGCTATACCTATCTAATTCTGCTACTTTTTAGAGATACAACAACAACAATCAGTTTAGGTCGTAATTTCAGTCCTAGTAAAAACAGTTACACGCTGCCATAAAAATGATTTAGGCGCATTAAAATCGTGCGTTTTGTATGCAGACAGTGGGCAGGGATCTCGAATAAATCTTGTAGGGCAAGCATATTTTCCATAGTTATTTGCTTGCATAGAGGCGTCGAGTTTCCAATAACAAAAACAAGGGCGCGCTGTGCGAGCGAAATTTGCTGTCCACGCTGTCCTCACGCGTGTGTGGCCATGAGACCAGCGACTGCTACTTGTGAACTCTACTAGGATCTGAGCGTCGCCATTTTGAAATCACTTACATGATACTACACTTTGAATGAATTAGTTATTGTTCCATGATACCACAATTCATTCATTTAATTTGGTCACACTACGTCTTCGGGCCCATGGTCGCCGCTAGAGACACAATAGATTTTTGATAATTGAGTAAGCGCACAAGTGATGTCATAGCTTCTTATTGCTACACGGATCCAATTTAGTGTAGCATCATTCAAGTAACTTTATAATGGAGACTTTTGGATCCCAGTTTTAACGCTCTCATGATAGCAGTCGCTTCTTCTTGTCGTGTCGACAAAAAACCTACCCAAAAAATCAGCCCAAAACTCCGCCACAAGAGTGGCGGTGTCAGTAGCCTTCATTAAATCTTCTTGCGTGCAGTTGTTATAGCAGTCGCTGTTCTAGCCGTTGTATCTGAGTAAATACAAATGAGTAGGTCATTTTCATAGAAACGCACCGAGCGCGGTTTGTATGTGAGCGCGCGCCAATACGTATGCGGCGCGCACGCACACACTGACAAAATTTAGCGTGGATTAGCGGTGAGGAGCGCTCACATACAAACCGCACTTGGGCGTTTCTATGAAGATGACCTACTCATTTGTATTTACTCTGGTTTTATACTTCCACAATCGCCGTTCTAATGGCCACACTCACGCATCCCAATACCGCGCGCCATCTGCCAGCGCCTGCCCCGAATCGCAACTACCACAGTACATCATATCGCGAATTAAAAAGGACGTAAACCTTTTACAGCCGCCCGTTTTATCGAAAGGTATACAATTAGATACGGACATAAAACGAACGTGTACGTAACCCGTGTGAACAAAGATATAACAAGGACAGCTGCAAGTAGTTCTTTTGAAATAAATTTAGATAGGCTTGCTAGAATGATGGTCACAGTTTTAAAAATATTAAAAAATATATTTCTAAATTCACAAGATATTGTTTCAAGTTTAGCTACCAGCATTTTATATCAGCATTAGATACCTACCTACTTTCTTTTCGCAAAAAGTTCTTATTAGATTTAAGGCACCAAAAACATTTTCATGTAAAACTTTGCCAAGACCACAAGAACACACTATAAAAAAAGTATGTAGTGCCTAACTATACAATACATAAAAGTCCTAACTTTACAAAATCTACACCTTAGTCAAAATAAGCGACTGAGCAGACTGTACGATTCTAAGCATCATCATCATCGCCATCATCATGTCAGCCACAGGACGTCCACTGCTGAACATAGCCTATGTTCAAATGATTTCCATTACGACCTGTTGGTTGCGGCCTGCATCCAGCGCCTTCCTGCTACCTTTATGAGGTCGCCGGTCCATCTTGTGGTTGGACGACCAACGCAGCACTTTCCAGTACGTGGCCTCCGCTCCAGAACCTTGCTGCCCCATCGGCCGTCAGTTCTGCGTACTATATGCCCTGCCCATTGCCACTTCAGCTTGCTAATCCATTGGGCTATGTTGGGCTATTGGATTATGGGACTCTTAACCAGAACCAGAGTAAATACAAATGAGTAGGTTATCTTCATAGAAACGCACGGGCGCGGTTTGTATGTGAGCGTGCCAATACGTATGCGGCGCGCACGCACACACTGACAAAATTTAGCGTGGATTAGCGGGGAGTTGCACCGAATTTGGTCAATGTGTGCGTGCGCGCCGCATACGTATATTGGCGCGCTCACATACAAACCGCGCTCGGTGCGTTTCTATGAAGATGACCTACTCATTTGTATTTACTCTGCCAGAACTCATGCATCCGATGACGTACCTATAACATTGACAAGGGCCAGCCCCTCGCATAGGTAGTACCGGTAGGCCCACCAGTTGTGGTACCGCAGGTTCTCCCACAGGTAGTCCAGGATGAGCTTCTTCTTCGTTTTCTTCTCTATCTCCGTGCAGACGCCCACATCGAGATCCATCATCAGCGCACGGATCTTGCCGCCCTCCCACGACTTCCAGAGCCATCGGGGAGCGTAGAACAGCATAGCCTGGGGACAAAGAGGAATATTACTATCGGAATGTATTCTTGTAGGGGCAGCAAGGTTCCGGAGTGGAGGCCGCGTACCGGAAAACACAGCGTGGGACGTCCACCCACAAGGTAGACCGACGACATTATAAAGGTAGCAGGAAGGCGCTGGACGCAGACCGTTACCAACCGGGCAGAATGGAAAGCATTGGGGGAGGCCTATGTTCAGCAGTGGACGTCCTATGGCTGAGATGATGATGATGATTCTTGTAGGGGCTGAATGAAGGCCGCAGCCAATCGGCTGATTAGGATTTTTTTTGTTGAAAATTTTCAAGCCCGCCCGAACGTACGACGCCGCGAGTTGCCAGTCCTCTTGTGACCGCGGCTGCAGCATAGCAGCCGAAACGTCAAGCCGTGAGTAACATAAATCTTAAATGTCGCATAAAGACCCGTGTCTTTTTATTTTAGGCTAATCACGAAATCGTTGGGAGTCCTATGTTCCGCAGTGGACGTCCTAGGCTGTAGCAGCGTTGTCGCATGCAAACATAAAGGTAGCAAAGAACACAAAGACAGCTACGGTCAGCTACGGTAGCTGACCGTAGCTGTCTTTGTGTTCTTGGACCCCTCAAGCAATCCGTCTGGCCAGCGTGGGGAATTTAAGTCAAACTACTCATTCAATTCTGGGTATAGTGCTGAACAGTGTCGTTGATGTCAATAAGTAGGTCTTTTTTTTAACGAGAACGAACATATTATTACTAATAATAATTTAGTTGAGTGTTTTCAACCATTTCTATTTTATGTTTTAACTGCCTAATCGGAAGTTATTAACAAATAAACAACCCCATATAAATGGCTTGTTCAGTAACATTTGTTAGCAGCTATTCAATAAACTTTTACAGCTATTAACGATTTGCCAACACGTTGTTACTAAGCCTCTCCAGCAGGTAGCAGCGTGTTTAATGTTTTAGCAAAACAACTAGAAATAGCAAACGAAATCGAAAGCAGAAACGGGCTCAAGGATTTTCCTAATGCAATATCGTGGGCGGATTTTATCTAAACAATAAAATTTGTCAATAACCGCTTAAATCCGCAGACGTTAAGTTTTTCAAGATTTATCTCCTCTACCTGGGTGTTTCGTGGACTTTATTTAGTGAGGAATAGAGTTGCATTTGCAAGTGCAGGACAATCAGACGGATCATTTTCTCATTCTCATTGGCTAGACAGTATCGTAAAGCTTTACGGGTGTAACTATTATTGTAGCTTTCAGCGGCGACGTTAAGCTCGGATTTGGGCCGATCCAATCTGCTGACAGCCGTATGACTATCTCTACGGAATGGATGCTGTTTTTGTCTACAATATTACTCGTAAGTTAGTTATACAGGAGTATAGTGCGTGAAAATAGAGTTGTGTGTAGTACATTGGAAGACACATTGAAATTCTGTACCTATGTAATATTTGACAATACCCGAGAAAACCTGCAATAGGTACAATAACTTTTAAACTAACGGGTCTATCTTAACCGTTATAGTTTTCCTTGAAAGTTCATAAAAAGCAGTATTATCATGAATTTTTTCAGATTATTAAAGCCAACAGTTTAGTTTTTAGAGGGGGGGATGCCCTACTCGAACGAAAATTGGCACTTTAAACTTTAATGTTTTGCAAACGGAACCCTAAATCGCTAAATAGTCTTAGAAACCCCTAATCCATTTTAAAAGACCTATCCGACCGATAAAAAAATCATCCCCAATTTACATGTAGGGGAAAAAAATTGTTTTCAAAATTGTATTTTGCCATTTGTCGGCGTGATTATTATACATACCTACCTCCACAAAATTATAGCTCTCTAGTGCCAATAGTTTCTAAGAAAAACCTCGGGCAGACAGACATTTCGAAACTCCCTGCCTTGTCAGGACTACGGAACCCTAAAAACATTCGGCTTTCCAGGGAAAACCTGAGAGTCATGCCTTTTTTTAAACCTATGTAGTACCTACATAGGATTATTTTATTACATTCACGTCACTCTATAAACTAAACACACTTTATGCTTTCTACAACCTATTCTTTTATGAAACACAACATATTTTACTAAAGTTTTAGACACAAATAGTTTGGAAAAATGGATCCGGCAGACGTTTGGCCGGCCCGCCTGAATATTGCACTTTCAAACTCACATTTTCACAACTGCATCTCCTTGGGGTGACAATGAGGAAGCAACAGAAAATAAACGTGTTAGTTTAATATTGTACTGTAGGTAGAATACAGGAGATGAGGATATTTGTAATATTCTTATTTCTACGTAAGCCAACTTCGCGTAGGTCTGAAATCCATAATTTAAAATGATAATTAGTTCTTCTTACATGTTCTTTTAAACACCATGAATAAAGGGCAAATCAAGGGAAATATTTTGAGTTTTTATTTACAAATTTCATAGGTACGAGTAATGTATCACATTCATAAATTTAGCAAGTAATGGTAATGTCGACCGTGAGCATACTGGATCGCAAAGAAAAACGGTCGGTTAGATGAAAGAGTGATCGATTTTTCTTGCCTGAAAAATTTCAGTTTAGTAGATTTACCTTAAAAGACTTGGAGCTTTAAACTCAAAAAAGGCGAAGTCTTTAACCATAATATCAACGTCTCTCCCTAATGCATAGCTACCCCAGCCATAGGCTATGCAGTTAGAGGCGACGCAACAAGTGCAGCCGCCCAACCGTAAAGATAATGGCTAGAAAAGCTAGCTTGCTCTACTTGCACACAAAAGATGTCGTGGCAAGCTGTAATCTACTTGGAGACCATTTTTAATATTCCGAACTTGCGCGGTTTGGGCGATAGAGATGTTTACTAAAACATGATGGTCTTGCAGTTACTTAACATATTTATTTTAAAAAGTGCAGTAGGTATCAACTTAACAACTTAACTGAGTCATTGCATGAGTTAGTTAATAATTTATTAATTTGTTAATTAATTAATTCTGTTTAAACAGAATTTAATTTTAATTTAATTTAATAATTTGTGTAATTTTTTGACTATATATATAATTTTATTGTAATCGATGTGGTGACTAAACATGTAAGCGCTTTGGGTTTTCTGTAAGCTTATTATGTTGCTCATTAAATAAATAAATAAATAAATAAATGAGGTATAGCAGCGGCACGGGAGGGTGTTTTCCATTGCGTCAAATGTCATTGAGACTTCAGTGTGCCTACCATGAGTTTACGTTAGGTGTGCTCGCTAGCGACTGCGTAAAAAAATGACATTTAAATGTATGACATATTGTGCAGCGCCCCTAGCGGCTACTTTTAAGAAATAAAATCTTCATAGAATTTTTTGACGTATTCGCTAGCGAGCTCACCTAACGTAAACTCATGGTAGGCACACAGATGTAAAAAAAAACTCATGAAACTCATTTCTTTTTGCAAAAAGGCTTTTAACACTAGAAAGACCAAGGCAGTCAAATTGGCGGCAAAGCAATTTCATTGTTAAATATTTCACAAACTATGTTTTTGTTTCTTTTCATATTTTATGACTTTTCCTAATTTGCTATTGTTAAGCTAAATCTATATGAAAAAGAAAATAACAGTATGTTGTATATGAGTTTCGATGACAAATACCTACTAAGACCGCGCACCGTCAATGTGGCGGCATACATATAAAGGCGGCGATAAGATTAGTAAACAACGATTTTTTCAAACTAATGTGGGTACTTTTGTTTTTATTTATGTTGAATTGAATTCTGAGTAAGTTGTTACTGCCTAGCTTGTTTACATTTTACAGTAGACATTGGTTTCGTTCGGTGAGCAGTCGTGGTTATGTGGTTTCGAAACTAGTACAACCCTATTTCCAAAAGGGCCGAAACGTAACCACTGACAACTTTTTCACGTCTCTAAATTTGGCTAAAAAACTAATGGTCGAAAAGACTAGTATAATTGTTGGAACAATGCGGCGTGCAAAAGAGAAGTACCACCGATTTGTAGAGGTATTCTTACTATAAGATATGAAACTTTCATAATGAAAACCGNCTTGATTTGATTTGATTTATTTTGATTACTGAGTGAGAAATTGCAAAATGAAATGACCTAAAAATTTCTTCTATATTCTTAAGTTATTGTGTAACTGCAATTTTACGACAGCAATAGATTTTGCTAAAACTGATTGCACCAAATTAAATGGTGATAGAGCTGGCCTCTATTTCAAAAGTAATGAGTTTGCGAGAATGGCCTTTAAAATTTATGGATTCCTGCTGATAATATCTGTGCTCTGCTGCAAATTATCGGTGAACCAGTCTTTGAGAAATTCCCCGATTGATAAAAAATCGTTTCGTTCGCTTGGAAACGATTACGCCTTGTCGAACGTTTTATTAACTCCGCGAATCTTATTAAAAGATATAAATTGTGATTGTGAATTGTTGCATAGGTTCCATGATTTGTTGGTTATACAAAGTGTAATCATTACCTATGTGTGCACGTCAAGCCTTGGCGATTATTCCATAATTAAGAAATATGTTAAAGCTTTAATTTTTGTCACGTAAGCAATTTGTATATCTTAATGATAAATAAAGACATTTTAAACTGTAAAAGTTTAGGGTTCTTTCATTTCTAGGATTTACAGCTTAACCACCAATAAAACCTAACCGTGAAGACTAAGTTTATCCCAGGGGAAAGTTAAACTGTCATTGGCCCCACGAAGACAATAAGAGAACTTCGAAGTTTAGGACCGTCTTCCCTTTAGTAGGTACATAGTAAATAGAACATGAGAAATACGACAAACAAAGGTAAGTCCAATGGTATGTATTTTTTTATGCAGAACAAGGCAGGTATTTGATTAATTCAGACAGGTAATTGATTTTAATCACCCCTGATGTTAAGTGAAGTTGCAGTCTAGGATGTTACATATCTGCCCTGTAAGTACTTATTCACTCTCGCCTTCAAGAGGCCCGGATTATAGTGCTCGAGAAAGACAGCTGCTGGCAGCGAATCCCAGTTCCTTGCTGTTCGCATTATAAAAGAGCTAGCGAACCGCTTA